AAAAAAAAAAAAAATACTCAAACTTATCTAATAAGCTTCTGTGGTAACATTTTAAATATCACCTAATTTTGCATCAATAAACGATAAAAGTATTTGGTAAAGTCAGCTAGTAAGCGAGATGAAATAAAAATTTCAGTTTTCTGGAATGACTTATTAACGGAGAAAAAGTGAATTTAGACTTCTTGAGGGCTACAAGGACGTAGATCCGACTATGCCCCAACAGTAAGGCTGCTATTAGAATAAGTAAGCATTTTCTGTTAAAATATTATGACGAATTGACTCATCTAACGATTAGACTATCTCACATAAAAATTTATCCGTCTGCCAATATAAAAAAAAGTTTCCTAGTACACATATATATGTCAAGTTAACTCACTACTTAAAAAATGATCAACATTTTCATACGTCGTTTCATAATCCTGCGCGCACGAGCTCGTCAACAAACTGTTTCAGCAAACCTTCAAGAATTCCCCGCCCGAGCAGTTCGCATACATCCTCAAAATCTTCAAATTCCATCCATGTCCATTTCTCGTTTACGCTTTCTTCTGTCAGCCCACATATTATCTCCGCCATTGTTTTGTAGTAACAATATTGCTCGTCGTGTTTGATTTTCTTTCCCTTCTTCCCTTTCGCAATTGCATTTATCGTCCCCCGATCATGAGAACCAGCTTTGCGCGAACATGGAATCTTCGAACTTGCGGTTTTAGATCGTATGTTTCGCCTTGAATTCTCTTCTTGTTTGACTTCTGCAGAACAACATCAAAAAAAAAAAAATAAAGAACCCATGATTTAGTTAGATTTTGTAGAGTGTAATGTGATGAATGAATTGTATAAGTAGGACTAATATTTCATTTCATGAGGCATATATATAAATAAATTCACCTGGTATAATCTCAGCAGGATATATACACATAATCTTGTTCTGCTTTTTCATCTTCAGACACTTATTAGGCTGTAACGACAAATCTTCCTTAAAATTAAAACCCACCACTGTCTTCATAACTGCCTTTTTCTCCTTCAAATTCAAGCCTTGTCTTTTTTTCCTCCCATGCAAAGCCTTTTTTCGCTTACACAGCTCCATCTCCAGCTTTTTCCGAATCACTCTTCTCTCCCGAAACTTTTCGTGAACTTCACTTCCGCCCCTCGATTCCTCGTCTTCTCCAAATTCACCCACTTTCTCCGAGTAATTTGAAACCGGCGAGCTCACGAGCTCTCGACAATTATACAATCCTTCGCGAAACGAAACAGACGTTCTGACCCGCCGGTGTAGTCTTGGCGGGTCGAAAGGCGGCAGAAAATCAATGGAGTTGACCGACCGGCTCCGGAGAAAGGAGCCCAAGCTACGGTCTTTGTGGGCCCAGCTCGGCGAGTCCGGAAAAGAGTCGAGGCCCATTAACTTCGCCACCACGCCCGGTTTCGAGCCCGTGCCCTGTTTCATCACAATTTCGTCGTGTTTGGAAAGGTTTCCGGGTATGGAAGTATCGGGATATTGGTCGGAAGGGTGTGTCGGAAGGCTGCCGGAGCAAAGCATTCGCCGGAGAACCGACGATAAGCAGTTAGTGCCGCCGGAAGGCATGGGGTTAGCTGAATTTGCTGACATGGATTCTGTTTATTTTCTGTTTAGTGTGTGTTTTTCATGTGAAAAAGATGAAAGGATATATATGATGAATTAATAGTTGAATTTGGTTTGAAATTTGAATTTGGTGCTAAAAAAATTGGCTACAGAGGAATGTAGATGAATTATTGGGGGCAGGTTGTGTTGTTATTGACTCATGAATGGAAGATGCCAAAATTTATAAGGTCTTTGGTTTCACACTTTGCATTTAGGAAAGTTAGGAAAGTTCATAAATATATTGCAGTTTTGTACTTGTGATTGTGTGAAATTAATGTGGATTCTTTTATGAATTTATGTTTTATTAAAGTGGGTTATCCTAGCACATCATATTCAAGTCACGGCTTCACCTATGTGGGAGGGTCGTCAAGTATGTAAAGTCCGCTCGACATGGTCGATGCTAGAGAAGCAAGATAATCCGCTGCAAAATTCACTTTACGATGAATATGCCAAAGCTCAATTATTTTGCTTGATCTAATACAACGAGAGGTGCATGTGGCAAAAGGCATAGTATAGTTTCTTTTGTTTTTTAAAAAATTTTAAATGTGACAAATTATAGACTTGTGCATGTAAAAATATTCTAGCTTGAAGTTGGGTATTATATGACACTAGCTAGAGTCAATCAGAATACAGTCTCAGTCTGCTACACGAGCACTGTGACACACAATCTAATATTTTAGTGGTTGTTGGTGTATATTATTGTCTACTCATATATAATATATTATCATAAAAGTATACATATTTTTATATTCAAAAGTCAAAAATACAATTTTTATACATAAAAGCACGATATTTTGTAATACAAGAATGTATTTTTATAAAATAAAATATGATTAATTAACAATATTTATAATAACCATTCGAATTTGAGCTTAATTGCAAGATTAATGTTATTAAACCACTTCTCTATTTTCCATTATCATCTCATGTATGGTCTAATTAAATTACTATAAAAAAAATTATTAATTCTGTTGTGGAACTCTCAATTTTTTTGGTACAGGGACCTTCCGGTTTTCGGATCCACAGGGGAACCGACTAATCCGGAATCGAGCCAGGTAGGACTACAAGGACGAAAAAGTTCTTCCTCAAGAGTTTTAATACTGCAGCTGCATTCTCAGAGCTCGAACACGATAATACAACAGTGTTAAAACTCTCGATTTAAATGTACATTAGACTATAATATGGGTAACAAATTCATACGGCAATCTAAAATAATAAAACGAAAGAAATTGTTGTCAGGAAAACGCAGATGAGAGTACAATAATTAATTAATTATATTCCGTTGAAAGCATGCGGCCGAATGTGTTGACTTTTGCAATGTGTAAAGGGGAGATGAGTCCACACCAAACCCGTGTGAAAAATCTGAACCCAATCACCCCCACCGACCTTTCCTAAAAAATATGGACTTTTATAATAAGTATTTATTTATGCATTGACTTGGTCATGACAAATGAAATATTAATTAAGCAACCAAATTAGAGAAACTTTGATATATAAAATGAGAAAATGCTACACAATTCTGTCACGAAATGATTCCGTGAAAGTTTCTAATGGCTAAAGACCCTCACGAAATTTTTCAGTGACGGGATCTTTTCTATAAAATGATCCTCAAAAGCAGCAATTCTGAATTAAGATTATATATTACATTTACAAACTTGTAAAGATTCAGATTTAGAAAATAAAGGGGTCTTTTTGATAGTGATGAGTGTACAAAAATGTAGTCCAAAAGTATGCTCATTAATTTGAATTTGACTGGAAGACATGATATGATATCTATACTTAAAATGATAAAAATAGTGGAACCCATTTAGCTATGCTTAATGAATTGAATGACAAGGTATGTCAAAATTGGGAAATAAAGTTGACAATATATTATTCTCCATGGTATGCTGTCCCAATTGCATTCAATTTGAAGTACAATTTTAATGTGATTTTTTTGAGGATAGACTATGAAAATTATATCAAATTAGTAGACAATTAATGAGTCCTACATATATTTGTATGGAAAAGATAGCAGTTGATATTTGAATAACAATGGAAGTAAATTACTTTGAGTCCTTGACATGATTTAGGGCTTGATTGTTTACAAACTAATTTACTCACATACAATTCATGTTCAAAATTTAAATTATCAACTTTAACTCAACTCCATTATCTTTAATATTATTCATATAAATAAATAACACAATTTAATCATTTTTACACATCACATCAACTTTAATTCACTATTCATCTACTCACATAATTTTAATTTACCTATCATTTTCAATCATTTATCTCTCACTTTTACATCAGATCAGTTTTAATAAATTTCTTTTAAATATTATTTTTACATTCATAAAATCTCACTAACAACTAACCATATCATATTTTTCAAAATTAACTCTAGTTAACAAAAATAAATCATTTTGAATGAATTATTTCATAAACAAGAACACCCTTAATTATTGTATTTTTAGTATTTTTTTTTTTTTCTTCTAAAAATGATAACGCGAGTATTCATTATTCAATGATAAACAGATCTGTCTCATTTAAAGAGAACAGTCATTTTTCAAGAAAATGATTTTCAAGACTTGTTAGTTTTATCAAAACATCACCACCAAAAGGGGATGTAGCTCAGATGGTAGAGCGCTCGCTTAGCATGCGAGAGGTACGGGGATCGATACCCCGCATCTCCATTATTTATAAATTTTACTTTTTTGGCACATTTGCTCATGTCTCTGAATATATTAGGAATTTACAACCATCATATGTCAATAAACATACCAGCTAAAATATTCAGGAATGTGCAGCCTGTGTACTGGGCTCACGAAAACTCTCGATCTCAGAGGACACAAATTCCTGTTTTCTTCAAGCTATGCATGCAAAAACGGATATTCGGAGTCATGAATCGGGTTCTATGGCTATTTACAATTGCTTAGGACACAAAACTTTAGCAACTATTCATCAATAACATGTTCACAAGAGTACAATATTGGTTTCTTTTAGAGAGAAAAAAACAGACCAGAAGCCTGGGCATTTTTCATCAATGAATTAAATCTTATGCTATGTTCAAATTATAATTTGAATCCACACCGGCAACATAACAGAAACTCAAGAATTAAGTCTAAAAGAAGAAGAAACTGGAGGACGGAACAAAACCTAATAGCAACACCACCTTCACAGCAGGATTGTAATCAAAATATAAAACAATGTACAAACAGATTAATCTGTTATCATCTCCCTCTTCAAAATTTTCAGACCTCACCGCATTGTCTAAGAACAAGATTGCCATATATTAGGCAAAAACTAAAACAAGATTTGCTCGAATAACCATATATATCTGCATTCACATAGAAGAAATGAATCCCATAAGCTCAAAAACAATCTAACATAAAGGTATATTAGCCAATAGCCACTGGCCAGGATTTCCAACTTCAAAACCAAGGTAAACTCAACAATCCAAGCCCAATTATACTGATGAACTTCAAAAAGATAGCAGTAAAAATCAAACCCTAGAATAGCCCTAACTGCTAAAACCATAAAGGGTACAGCCATTGTCAAGATGTGCATTGAGCTTTGGTCCTCAACCTATTTAGTGACTATTAAAGTATTAATGAATAAAATCTGATGGCATGTTCAAATTGTAAGTTCAATCCACAGCAGCACTATAACAGCACAAAAAACTAATGAATTAAGTTCAAATGAAGAAATAATTGAAGAACAAAACAAAACAAAACCCGATAACAAGATCATAGTAAGATTATAAGAACAAAACAAGAACCTTGATAGCAGGGATTATAATCAAAATATAAAACAATGCACATACAAATTGATCTGTTTTCATCTCCTTCTTCAAACAGTGCCCGCCACAATGAAAATTGAAACAATATTTGATCAGGAACAGTAGAAACTACAACTGTATATGAAATCCAATGAGCTCAAAACCAATTTAACATAAAGGTAAAATAGCAGCTGGCCCAAAGTTCCACTTTCATTCATCAAAACAAAGATACATTCATCAATCCAAACCCAAATTACACTGATATAGCTTCAAACATAGCAGGAAAAAGTAAATACACATCCAAGCCCTAGGGATCTAACCACCAAATCCGTAGAGGGTACGGCCCTGCCTCTTGAGCGCATAGACGACGTCCATCGCCGTCACAGTCTTCCGGCGGGCATGCTCGGTGTAGGTGACGGCGTCGCGGATGACGTTCTCGAGGAAGATCTTGAGGACGCCGCGCGTCTCCTCGTAGATGAGCCCACTGATGCGCTTCACGCCGCCGCGCCTGGCCAGACGGCGGATGGCCGGCTTGGTGATGCCCTGGATGTTGTCCCTCAGCACCTTACGATGGCGCTTGGCGCCACCCTTACCCAGCCCCTTGCCGCCCTTTCCTCTGCCGGACATTTTTCGGTTTTGGCTCTTGTTTTGGTTTTTCGGTTGATGAAAATGGAGATTTGGAGCGTTTTGAAATTGAGATGATTTGGTGGAAATGGGGGGCTAAACTATATAGCTTGTGTTTTTAGTGTAGGAAGAATTATGTGCCGTCGGATTAAAATGCTTATCGACGGTCATGAATGACAATCCGCGCCATGTGCAACAGTGAAAATCTGCCGTTCATAAGGATGTTGTGGAGTGATCTCAGTCGTTAGATGAAGATGGCGGATTCTCAGTAATTGAGGTAATAATGTCAGCTTTTGGAGAAAAGTGCATCAAATTTAAACCACTACAATTTTCATTAGTAGTATCTGATATTGTGGATTTGCACAAATATAAAACATGTTTTTGTTTGTAGTTATTAATTAGATATGTACTTTTATCATATAAAAATTACTAGTACTAATACTCATGTATAACATGGGTGTTGAGTTAATAAATATATGTGTAAAATTATTTATGTTTAACACCAAACTTAACTCGAGAGCAAAAATATATATATATATATATAAACTATATCACGAATCATAGATTTTCGCCACGTCAGCATCCGAAACGTGAAGATCTG